CGCCCCGCCTTCCACTCCCTGAAAAAACAATGGAAAAAAACCCTTCTGATGAGGATTTAAAATAAATAAATAAATGCAGACTTTTAATGGTGACCGAAAATCCTATTTGAGATTAAAAAAAAATTGGGAGAAACTTTGAATGGGGTTGGGAGTGGAGGGAACTAGTCCAGTCTCACTGACTTTCATCTTGTGTCTCGGCAGGGTGGTGAAGGAAGAAATTTCAGATGACAATGCCCGCCTTCCCTGCTTCAATGGAAGGGTAGTCTCCTGGGTAAGGGGCCCTGGCTGTGAGGGCCCAGTCCCTCCTATATCACCAAGCTCCTCCAAGCCTTAGTCTGGCCTTGTAGCCCAACTCCTGATTAGTTGTTGGAGGCCCTGGCTCTTTGCTTCCCTTCCTCTTTGGAGGGCCAGCTGGGGCCCTTCATCATCCTCTTTCTGGAGCCTCCAATGCTTGCTACTCCTTTTTGTGCTTTTCTACAGGCTCTGTCAGACCCTGTCCCCTTTTCTAGTCCTTTCTCTTATTCCCATCTCATATGCCTCACTTCTCAGTAGAGCCTTTTTTTTTTTTTAATCGCACCCTTCTAGCTTGTGTCATCAGATAACCCTCAACTCGAGATAGCTCCCCCAGCCCAGGAGCCTCGGACAGAACTGGCGCCACCAACGCCACCATTACCCGCTTTGCCACCAGAGAGGACCAGTGGCATTGGGGACTCCAGACCTCCATCCTTCCAGTGAGTCCTTGGGATTCTTGAGTCCAGGGAAGGGAAGTGAGGAGGGAATCCAAGCATCTTGGGAGGGAAAACCAAGGATTTGGAGCTCTGTCCCACTGACTCGGGTTGACATCACCTCTGCCCATCTAGCCCTAATGTGTCCAGCAGCCGGGAAAATCTGGAACCTGAGACAGAAACAGAGTCAGTAGCATCTCTAAGGCGGGAGCGGCCTCGCAGGAGAGACAGCAGTGAGCATGGCGGTGAGGGGGATCGGGCCCTCAGGCTGGGTAGACTGGAGTTGGGAAGGGGTTGGGTCAGACCTAAGGCTTGATGAGGGTAAGCAGCATGAGGTCTGCTTCCTGAAGTTGCTATTCATACTCAGCTGGGGGCCACAGGCCCAGTGGCCCCTCGAGGCTGGAGCGCCACTTGGCCGGGTACGAGAGTTCTTCAACCCTCATGACCAGCGAGCTGGAAAGCACCAGCCTGGGGGACTCTGACGAAGACGACACCATGAGTAGGTATGGCTCCACAGGTATCTCCCCAGGACACTAGACCCTTCTCTTCCCTCCTTCAGCCAATCCTCTCATCTTTCCCTTGGCCCCATGACCACCTCCATGTGCTCCCATCCCAACCTCCTGACAGGTTCAGCAGCTCCACGGAGCAGAGCAGTGCCTCTCGCCTCCTCAAGCGCCACCGGCGGCGGAGGAAACAGCGGCCACCTCGCCTGGAGAGGGTGAGGGGGGGTCTCATGGGACAACTGGATCTTGGGGAAGTTGGGGGCCTGGGCCTTGGTTTAGTGGGTACAAGGACACAGACAATCCCAGACTTGTCCCTGGGTTGTTAAAGGCAGTCTAGTTCCTTCCCTTTCCCCCCACAGACCTCATCCTTCAGCAGCGTTACTGATTCCACCATGTCTCTCAACATCATCACAGTCACACTCAATATGGGTATGGAGGGAGCCGGGGCCGGGGGGGTTGGAGACCTGGTCTCCAGGGCTCGGGGCTCATGTGGCTTGGGCTTCCCCTCGTCACATGGACTCCTTCCACAGAGAAGTACAACTTCCTGGGCATCTCCATTGTGGGCCAAAGCAATGAGCGGGGAGACGGGGGCATCTACATCGGCTCCATCATGAAGGGTGGGGCCGTGGCAGCTGATGGGCGCATCGAGCCAGGGGACATGCTTTTGCAGGTGTGCTGGGGCAGGGCACTTGGGCAGGGGCTCTCAGCCTCTCCCACCCTGCCTCTGACCCACTTCCCCTCACTTCAGGTGAATGACATGAACTTTGAGAACATGAGCAACGACGACGCGGTGAGGGTGCTGAGAGACATTGTGCATAAGCCAGGGTGAGCCTCTGAGTTGGTCTCAGGTCCTCAGTCCTCTTGTCTTTGCCTTTTCACCTTTTTGTTTCATAATTTTAAGAAGCAGTGAAACAACACTCATCTAAAAAGTATATGAAACGTAATGTAATGAGTAATTCTAGAGTGAATGAGTACCTCTGTCACCACTGCCTAGATCAGAGGTGAGGAACGTCCAGCCTGTGGCCCATATACAGCCCGAGAAATCATTTGGTCTGGCCCTGCCAAGGCCTCACCAAAGAGAAGCAGTTCCAGCCATCACAGTAGGGATGAGTTAATTAAATACCTGACCAAATTTAGCAGGCTAATTTTTAAGTTGATAATTTTATATCGCCTGCAAATGATATTATAAGTATCCAAATGGCCCTTGGCAGAAAAAAGGTTCCTCAATCCTGGCCTAGGTCATGAAATAGAAGACTGCTGATACCCCAAAAGTTCCCCCCAGCCCAGTATCCTTTCTGGCTCCCACCCTCCTCACTTCCCCTAGGGGTAGTCACTCCTGATTCTTCAGTCATCACTGTGACAAAATCTTCCCTTGGTAGTGTTGCCACCCATAAAAGTATCCTTGGACAGTGTGGTTTCATTTTACCTGTTTTGGGGCTTTTTCTGAATGGAACTGTACAGTGTATACTCTGTTGTCTGACTCAGTATGTTTTTGAGTTATCCATGTTGGTGAGTCACCCACATTGTGCATGGAGCCTTCCACGCTCACCTTCTGGGGTCCAGCCATGTCTGTGCTCTTTTCTTCTCTCCCTCTTTCTGTCCCTCAGCCCGTTCTCTTTCCAGGCCTCCGCCCTCCTGAGGCCTCTCCACGCCCTGCTTGACTGGCTTCTCTTCCCCACAGCCCCATCGTGCTGACTGTGGCCAAGTGCTGGGATCCCTCTCCCCAGGCCTATTTCACTCTCCCCCGAAGTGAGTGATTCTCAGGAGGGCCTGCAGCTGAGAGGACGGGAGAGCAGGGCTGGGTCCCAAGGCTACTGGGACTGGGTGGAAGAAGGTCAAATTTGAGTCAGGGAGGGACAGGGATGGCTCTCTGGGACTAGGAAGTGATCATCTTGGTGGTTTTCTCTGTCCTAGATGAGCCCATCCAACCAATTGACCCCGCTGCCTGGGTCTCCCACTCCGCAGCACTAACTGGCACCTTCCCAGCCTATCCAGGCTCCTCGTCCATGAGCACCATTACATCTGGGTCCTCTTTGCCTGATGGTGAGTCCCTAGGCCACCTCATCCCCCTTTCCCAGAAGGCCGCAGTGTTGTGACCCCATCGTTGCTTGGGAGTGGGCTCTGCCTCTGATTCCTTACTTCTCCTCTATCAGGCTGTGAGGGCCGAGGTCTCTCCATCCATACAGACATGGCATCTGTGACCAAGGCCATGGCATCTCCAGAGTCTGGACTGGAAGTTCGGGACCGCATGTGGCTCAAGATCACCATCCCTAATGCCTTTCTGGGTATGGCTGGGTCCTGGGCAGGTGGCATGGGAAGTGGGGGAGGAGGAGGAGGAGGAGGAAGAGGAGGAGGCCGGAGCTGGGAATGGCTGAGGTCAGGGATAAACAGAAGTCAGGGAGAACTGAGGCCTTTTTCTGCTCTGGGTGATCCCAGGTTCGGATGTGGTCGATTGGCTCTACCATCATGTGGAGGGCTTTCCTGAGCGGCGGGAGGCCCGAAAGTATGCCAGCGGGCTGCTCAAGGCGGGCCTTATCCGGCACACCGTAAACAAGATCACTTTCTCTGAGCAGTGCTATTATGTCTTTGGAGACCTCAGTGGCGGCTGTGAGAGTTGTGAGTGCCTCTTTCTAACCCCAGACCTTGTCCAGAAACCAGCCAATGTCACCATGGAACATTGAGCAATATGTGCCCTGCACGGGCTGATGACATAAGTTGGGGCTAACATCCACCAGTGTTCTGCTGGACAAGCTGTGCACCAGGCACGGCTATGTCTGCTAGGGGCAGAAGTGCCTTTTCCTGAATGTCATAAAAGAGTATGGGACTTGTGGCAGCCCTGGCTGATTTCCTGCCCTGATAGCAGTGGCAGGTGGGGAATTTCCTGTTAGAGGCCCTGGTTTTAACACTCATCATGGATGGTTCTGGGGAAATGGTTCCCAGTTCCTCTTCATCCAATGTCTTGGTGTCCTGGCCCCTTAAAGCAGTGACTCTTACTCTCCTCTCTTTCCAGATCTAGTCAATCTGTCTCTGAACGATAATGACGGCTCCAGTGGGGCTTCGGACCAGGACACCTTGGCTCCTCTCCCTGGGGCCACCCCCTGGCCCCTGCTGCCCACCTTCCCCTACCAGTACCCAGCCCCACACCCATACAGCCCTCAGCCTCCACCCTACCATGAGCTCTCTTCCTACACCTATGGTGGAGGCAGTGCCAGCAGCCAGCACAGTGAAGGTAAGTAACTGCCAGATACCAATACATTTGTGGGTAGGGGGCATGGGAAACCAGGGTGGAAAGGCAGGAGTAGGGGCTAGGGAGGTTGAGGGACCCTGGGCTAGGGCTCAGTTGCCTCCCTCCCCTCTCCCCCAACAGGGAGCCGGAGCAGTGGGTCCACACGAAGCGATGGGGGGGCAGGGCGCACAGGGAGGCCTGAGGAGCGGGCCCCTGAGTCCAAGTCTGGCAGCGGCAGTGAGTCCGAGCCCTCCAGCCGGGGGGGCAGCCTTCGGCGGGGTGGGGAACCTGGTGGGACTGGTGATGGGGGCCCTCCCCCTTCCAGGAGCTCATCAGGGGGTGCTCCCAATCTCAGAACCCACCCAGGGCTTCATCCCTATGGACCACCCCCTGGTATGGCCCTCCCCTATAACCCCATGATGGTGGTCATGATGCCTCCCCCCCCCCCTCCTGTCCCTCCAGCAGTACAGCCCCCAGGGGCCCCTCCAGTCAGAGACCTAGGTTCAGTGCCCCCAGAGCTGACAGCCAGCCGCCAAAGCTTCCACATGGCCATGGGCAACCCCAGTGAGTTCTTTGTGGATGTTATGTAGAACCAACAGTGTCCCATGTTGAATCTCCACCCTTGGCCTCTCCAGTCAGTGCCTGGTACTCCTGTGATTGGGTGTCTGTCAGTTATGTGCTCGTTACTCCTCCAGTGGTGCCTGGGTGCCTAGGCTCAGCCTGTCCTGTGGCTGCTGCCTACTGTGAGGTTACCACTGTGACTCTTGCCAGCAGTGCCTGGTTCCTTCCCCTTTCCTCAGGGGTGTACAAGGGGCCTTTGGTTATTTTTAGCTTTTTTTTTTTTTTTGTAAGCCTTTTTCGGGATTAAAATAGATTTTTCTACATTTTTTAGGCTATTTTTTTAGTAGGTATTTCTCTTTTATATGAAGAACCCCTGTCTCCCGGGCCCCTTCTTTTAACCCCAAAATGTGACCTCATTTGCCCAGTCAGCTCTGACCTGCTACCCTGGAAGGAAGAGAGGGGTTGGTCACCCTTGACAGCAGTCAAAGGAAGCTGGGGTATTTGGTATTTGGGGGCCATGTAGCTGCTTTTGTTACTCTATTTATTTTAGTCACTTGTATAAAACACCAAATAAAGCAATAGGGGCAAACTCCCTACGCCTTTGGCTCCTTTCTTTGGGAGGGAAGCAGACAGCAAGGGAAAGGACTCAGACACAGTAGCAAAGCATGACTTGTTAGACTATTTGTAAGGCAGTGAATGCTCCCTCTGAGAGCAGACACAGTGATGGGGCCCCTTCAAGGGAGAACCAGGGCCCACAGGAAAGGGGCCTGGGATTTAGCTTAAGAAAAGGCACATTCCTGGCCAGGCCCTGGCTGGGAGTATTCAGAAGCCAAGGGGGTTGCTGGTGACCACGCCACCCTGCTCCACCAAGGCCTTGGAGATGCCTTTGAAGTTACGGAAGAGCTCCTGCTGCTGGGGGTCAGACTGCAGAGCAGCCATGTTCTCCCGGATCCGGGCTGCAGCCTGGGGAGAGGGAAGGAGGGGATCAGGACTGTGCCTTGAGCCCCCCACCTGCTCTTGGCAACCCCGAATCTCACCTCAATACACCAGCTGTCACAGAGCATTTTCTCATGCTGGGCTGTGGGGTGGCCCTCACTCAGGGATCTTGAGGCCCTGGTGGGAAGCAGGAGACATATCAGGGCTGTAACCCTGGCCCAGGAACCCCCTGCAGCTCAGACCTCCCATACTGCCTCCTCACCTGGAAAGAACCACCACCATGGCATAGAGGTCAATGGCACTGTCTGCCAGGCGCTGCAGCACAAACTGTTCATCTGTCAGGTAGATGGAATGGGGGGAGGGGTGTCAGTCGGAGGGAGAGGAAAAGGAGGGGGGTGGGGTGGGGAAGGGCTCACTCACTGACAATCTCCTTTTTGTGTTTTATCAGCTTGGCCTCCACCACAGTGGCAAACTGCTCCAGAGCCTGCGTTGCCTGAAGAGGAAGGTGCCCAGGGCTCAGAGAGGGACACAGCCCCATCAGCTCTTGATTCAGGCTGCCCCCCACCCACCCAAGCTTTGACTTCTTACCAGTTCACCACTCCGACTCAAGTCAGGATGGATGACTCCACTGAGACTCAGGCCACTGCCCAGTCCTGCCCGCCTTAGAGGGAAGGGGGAAGTGATTGGTTAGTTGCCATACGCTGCCTTGCCCTGCCCTGCCCTGGCCCCTAAGCTTACCGCCTCAGCTGTTTGCCTGCCTCTCCTAGCAGGAGGCCAGCATTCCCAAAAGGATTCTTTAGAGCTTTGCCAAGCCCAGAGAGTTCCTTTCCTTTGTCCTGTGGGGAGGAGGGTCCAAGAGTCAGGATTCCCTGTCTTTCCCACCTCCTCCCCTCAGTTCTCCTCTTTCTTACCATACAGCCCTGCAGAGCCACAAACAGCCGGAGAATATCATTCGTTCCCTCAAAGATCCGAAAGATGCGAAGATCTCGGAGCACACGCTCTACCCCAGGCTCCTAGCACAGGGAAAGATAAATCATAGGCCCCTGTTGAGATGTGTCAGCCTACTCCTCCCAGCCCAACTGGCTACCAAGGGCCAAGAACCATCATGTACCTTCATGAAGCCCATGCCCCCCATGATTTGTATGCACTCATCTGTCACCTTCCAGGCTGCCTCCTAGGGACAAAGAACCATGTAAGATTGGTTTTGGAGCCGAGCTTCAGAACTGGGCTCTCCCTCCTTGCAGGCCTGTAACTTTACCGAGCCAAAGATTTTGCTGATGGCGGCCTCTATCTGGAAGTCCGTGGATCCTTGGTCCATGTTGGCACTCACCATGTAAGCCATGGACTGAGGTTGCATGGTTGGGACATGAGAATGAAAATGGTTGCATCACATTTGACCTGATCGCCCCAATCTGCAAGACCAGACCTTCCCCAGCTCCCTGCGGCCCTTGCCTTCCCCTCCTAATTCCATGTCAGGCATGTTGAAATATTTGACCCCGAGTCAGTTCATCAAGGGCTTTTAGTCATTTCACTTCTTGAAAGGGGTAAAGAGGTAAGCATGGGCTTGGGGGCAGAATAAACTTCAGGTACCTCTAGAAAGCAACTCAGCAGAACAGCATGGCTCTCCCTCTTCAGCAGCTGAGCTGACTATGCCTCCCCGCATCCCCTAGGGCATTGGTGTAAAGCTGGAGACCCACTGCCCCAGGTGCTGCTGGGGGTTATAGTCTGACGCAACTGGGAAGGCGGCCATAGGAGAGAAACATGGGAGGACACTCACCTCTGTCACATACTGCAGCATAGCCATCCGGGCCAGCTTTTCCTGGATCAGCCCGAAGTTGTGAATTTTCTCCCCAAACTGGGTACGATTAGCAGCATGATCCACCTGGAAGAGGGCACCTGTGTCCCACTATTTCTCTAGTCCTCCCCAGGAGAGGGGCTGGGCTGGGCTGGGCTGGGCTGGGCTGGG